CTTGCCACTAGGCCACCAGAGCCCCCAGCATTTATTATCAGGAAACTCTTTTCAGAAACTGATAGAGACTTCCCTTCTGCCCTACCAACCTGCATGACGTTGCCCACAATGACGCTGTCAACGGTCTCAGGAGGGATGCTGCCAGCCGACAGGGCTGCCCTGGCGGCAAATTCAGCCAAATCAGTGGCGGTGAAGTCTTTCAGAAGGCCACCATAGGCCCCGAAGGGCGTTCGCTTGGCAGCCACGATGAACACACCTATTGCAACAAGAGAGAATCGTGAGTTCTCAGACCGGTCAGTGTCCCTGACACGCTTTAAATAATCTCATGGAGAAACCTTAAGGCCGGACTTTGCTTTTTAGAAACCTCAAAACACACTGCCGTCGTGTCCAAACCAGCTCAAAGCCCACCCTTCATTGGGTTTTCAAGGCTGTCAGCTACGTGGGAGGAGACTGCCTGTCTTTCTCCTAAGGAGCCTCTGGTGGATGGATTTGAACCAGCAGAGAGGTCTGGCCCCTTGGGTTAGCAGTGCAACCCCCTAAGAATCGGGCCACCAGAACTCACCTGAATTGTCAGATAACTGAACACCTTTTTTGTACAGTAACATGGAGAGTAAGCCTCACCCATATAAAGGGCATTCCTGTTTATCAGCGTGATCGGTGTCTACAGCAGGACCCAGCTCTGTGCTGCATGTTACAGGGCAAATCCATCTCTTAGACACCATTCTTGTTCCCTCAGGGGAACAGCAAGGCTGGAAACCTTTGTTTAAGATAGAAGTGCATTCTGCGTACCCAGTCACAGAATCAAAAAACGTTCCAACTACGTGGTTCCTTAAAATTTGTCAGCGATTATTTAATCTTGTAAGAACTCCCTCTAGAAAATTCTCCACAAGAAGTTCTCTCCAATCTCTGCTGAAAAAGTTTCTGTAGGAAAACACACCCCACTGCGTGAGGAAGCCTCGTCAGGAGTGGAGAACGCAATGAATGAATGCAATGTCTTCTATATGCCAATTCCAGGCCTACCCACCCACCTGCCTATCTGGCAGCTCCTGTGGGCTATTGGTAAGGAACTGCAATGACAAAGCAAAGGCACAAGGTTTGAATCCCGCAGCTGCTCTGCGGGAGAAAAATGGGCAATCTCCTCCCACCTGATTTACTGACTCTGAAAACCTGCTGGAGGGTCAGCTAGGATTTGGTTCCGACTCCATGTCACCTAACATCTATAAAAGTCCTTCTGTTGCTGGCAAGCCAATTCAGACTCATAAAGACCCAGCAAAACAGCAAAGGACAGACAGCCCCACAGTGTCCAAGGCAGTAAATTTTGATGAAAACCAATGGCCACAGCTTTGTCCAATGGAGAGAGTTAGAACTACCTTTTTTGGGTAGCATCTGAATGCTTCACCCCTGTACCACCAGAGCCCCTTCTGAATTAGGTTAAGTATTTACTCATTTGCTTAGAACAGCTACCAGGAACAGGAATGCAATCCTGTGTGGATTTCAGTTTCAAGTTCAAAGCAATATGGCAGCCCTGCCTAACTGTTGGGAGGGCATGAACATTTCCAAGACAGTAAACGAACTAATATTTACTGGGTGCACAGTGCCAATTACCGTGACAAGGGCCAGTAACCCGGCTCCTCTTCTACAGTAGCATCTTACTGTAGTTTGGGTAAAGGTTTCTTAGCAGTTAAGCTCTCATTCACTACTTTCTATGCAGGTTGTTCAGCGCCACAGGTTACATTCTTCCTAATTTGTGAACAATCTCATTGTTTCCCTTCTAGTTGTCCTATTTCCATGCCCTGATACTGTCTCACCTTTGTTTTAGAGTAGCTGTTGATCAGTTAGTGTGATTAGTTCTCCTTGATGACAAAAGGAAACATCCCATTCAAATGATCCTTTCCCCCCTACAACAATCACTCACACACCCTTCTTTCTTATCCACTAGAAGCTCTTGGCGAGCCCTGGTGGTGTAATGAGTAGTAAATCCAACTGCTAATCAAAAGGTTGGCAGTTCGAATCTACCAGGTGCTCCACAGGAAAGAGAGCAGCAACCTCTTCTGATGAAGATTTTCAGTCTTGGAAATGCAATACTTGGTCACTATGGATTGGAACTGACTCCATAACAGTGAATTTGGCTGGCTGGTTTTGGGGAGTAGGCTACGTAAGAGAAGTATGTGTATTTTTTGTACCAATCATTATTTTAAGACCAATACTTGGGTTCTGGTCATGGCCACTATTACCTGTAATTATTATAGGTGAGCCACTATTTCTTTATGAACATCAATCCTCCTGTTTAACAGGAAAATGGGGGGTGAGGGGTGGAAATATGACTACATACAGCATGCAGCACTGTGATTTTAAGAACATCAGATTTCCTAAATACAGTGTTGATACATGTATTTTTCTCTTAAAATGATTACCAATTTTAGCACAACTTCAAATGTCTGTATTACAAGAAAAAGATGAAAGCTCTCTCTTCTTGCAGGTAACATGGCAAAAGGTCTGGGTCCACTCTGAACCTTCCAGGGGTGCCCCCCTTTCTTCTTTCCTTTCCTCTTTAATTCTTTCACATGGCCTACCTTTATCTTTCACCAATCATGCCTCCTTTGCATTACCTCAATAAACCTTTTCCATTTGTTTTGCTAAGTTAACCAAAAAAAGGAAAAGATCACAACCACTACTATTTGGGAGCTCTGGTGTCCTAGTGGCAAGAAGCTGTGTTGCAATCCCGAAGGTACATGGTTCGAGGCCACTGCTGCTCCACGGGAGAAGGATGGGCAATCTCCTCCTGTCAGGGCCTCGCTAACCTGCAAAGCAGGAGCAGCAACACCTTGTAAAAACAGCAGGACCACCTATCTTGGCTTGACCATCTGTTCTGCAGAAAACAACTCCAGGAAGCAGTATGCTAATGAATAGGGAGTGACTAAAGGCCTCAGAATTCTAGTAATGTGATACCTTCTTATTTTCCAATAGATACCATAGGATATCCCGGAAGATGTCTTTGTTTTGTGTGAATGTCTGGGAATGTTCGATCTACCAGTCAACATCTCGGACAAATAAGAGATAATGCGATTACTCCTGCACGCATGTTCCTAAGATAGATATATATATACCCTTGCCAGAATATTAAACTTGCTATTTGTCATCAGCAATTAGCTTCTCCGCATCTTTATTTCAACCTGGTGCCTCCTTTTGGCGGAATTCTCCCGACATATCGGGGCTGGATCCCTGATATCCTCCCATGCAATTAACTGTCTCTGAAAACTCACTGGAGGGTCAGCTATGGGTCAGTTCCAACTCAGTGGTATACACCACCAACACCACCACCTCCACCACCACAATAAAATATTAAAGTGAGAAACCAAGAGAGTTATAATTTCCTCTTTAAAAAGATAATTCATCAAATGGCAGCTTTTAAGTGAACTGTATTTTCTAGATTCCGTGTCTTAAAAAAAAAAATCAATGTGCTGCTTTATTAAGTAAATACAGGATTTCAGATTTAGGAAGGTGGTTGACAAATGTATCTGGTAAGAAACTGGATACACTACATTTTTGTACTTAAGCTACCCACATGCCACTTTGGCCCTTCTTGTTACTGAAGGCGAGGGTTCTTTCCGTAGTCATTTGCCAATAAGACAAATGGATTGCAATATCCATATGCACTTTATTACAGATCTGGGAGGACAGCAAGTTAGCCTCAAAGACCGCCTCTCCATCTGGGAGATGTCACCAGGCTTTTATACTAGGTTGTGACACCAACTTACTTAACAAACTTTTGTTAGTAAAATAAAAAAATTTCTATATCTGAAAGAAAACCATTCACACCCAGATACTCCCTTTCTGGGCAAAAAGGCAGATTAAGTTACAGTATACATACATTAGGAAAAAAACAGCTTCAAAGAGAAAACAGCTAATCTAGGAGATGCAAATCCTCCTCTGATAAACATATTAGAGAAAGGACACTAAGAATTCTAAGGTCAAGCAATTAGCCTTTCAGGCTGGAGAAAACAGACGCTGCCAGTTTCATAACTATATAACTATAGTTCCATAACTGATACATACACAGAGAATTCTGAACTTATCACTACCACTCCATCATTCTGAGTTCTAGATAGATAGATCTAACTGCCTACAATATTGTCATCTGTGCGTCCAAGAAACATCAAAACTTTTGCCTAAAATGGAATTTTCAGTCTTCCTTTTCAAACTACTGTGGGCACAAGGTCTTTCACCTCACTCCTAATGGAACTAAAGTAAACCCATCCCAGGCCAGTATGTCGGCTTCCACTCACAGTGGCCCTATAAGACAGAAAGCTCACATAGAGATCTTGTAAGACAGGGTGGAAAGGTCACATATAGACCCTGTAAGACAGGGCAGAAAGGTTACACACAGACTCTGTAAGACAGGGCAAAAAGGTTACAGAGCTGCCAACCCAGAGGCAAGCGGTTCGTATCCACAAGCTGCTCTGAGGTAGAAGGATGGGCAATTGTCTCCCATGAGATTTATAGCTTCTGAAAAGCTGCTGGGGGTCAGCTGAGTCAGTTCTGATTCCATGGCAGTGAGGGAGTTTGTTGTCCTTCCTCTGCCTGCTCCTAGTACATACTACCTGACAAGCACACGGGAGGAATTTAGCCATGAACTAGCACGTGTGATGTAATCTAACCCTGCAGAAGGGAGCCTGATTTCCAGAAACCCAGCTGCCACTGGTGGCTTAGTGGCAAGGAGTGGAGCTGTCAACTCAAACACTGTTTGAAGCCACCAGCTGCCCACGAGAGGAAGCTGGGGAATCTACTTCCATGCAATTTATTTTCTCTGATCTGCTGGAGGGTCAGGTATGAGTTGCTTCTGACTCAAAGGTACATAACAACAATAACAGGCTGCATTGCCAACCTGGAGGTTCATGGTTCAAATCCACCAGAGCAAGAAAGATAGGCAATCTCTTTCCATATGAATCTGAAAACTTACTGGAAAACCAGCTTCGGGATGGGTCCAAATCAACTGTACATAATAATAACAGCAGGCTGATGATAGGAGCTGTTCTACTCACTGTCACCTTGTCTCTGCTCACCCTGTTTCTCTAAGTAATCAATTCTCTAAGTCTTTACAGCGTCTGGTCTATGCTCTGCCGAACCACTGCTTCACTGTCATTGTGCTGGATCAGCGCTTTGATAAGTATATTCTCAGCAACAACAAAGAACTCGTAAGGAGCAGCACAGCAGAGACTTGTGCTCCCCCAGCTGCTTCCCTGTGAAGGGGTACCAACATAAACACCGTTCCTCAAGGCAGGAACCAGAAATGATTCTTGACATTTTCTCATTTACTTGCCAGATCCAACCTGTTATAAATTTTTTTTCTCTATGCATCTTTTTCTTTTTTTTT